TGGTCACACTGGTCACACTGGTCACACTGGAACGACGGGTGATGGCCGTGTCTTGTTGTTCTTTCTGCGGGGCCATCTGACAGGCATCTTGACAGGCTTCGCGCCCATTATCCTTCGGGGAGCGCGGGCTGTGCTGGAAACCAAGACCGAGCGGGGCAGCAGCAGCAGCAGCAGCAGCGGCTACCCACGAGAGCAATTGCAAGAGGCTTAGACTGGGCTGAGTGCCAAATCAGCGCGGGCTTGTCGTTCGGTTCTTCAAAGTTTCTATCGCAGGCTTCTTTTTTTCTTTGGCTGAGCTCGTCTGCCTGTGCCTTCGCTCTGTGGCGTAATTCCTGGGCGAGCAGAGGAGAAGAAAAAGAAAAAAAAAATCCCCCCGAGGGGAGAGGCGCTACACCACTGTGGCTGGGGACGTTCGCAGCCGCGCCAAAGACCCTGCGGCCACGCTACAGCTCGTCTGGGACGCAATCAGCAGGCTTCGGTCGACTCCGCATGGCGCATTTCCCCATGTTCCTCCTCCTCCTGCTCGACTGCGATTCCGCCTCGCCTCGCCTCGCCTCGACTCGCTCGACTGCACTGTGGGCTCGGCTGCCCTGTCTCCTCCGCCGGATCTCCCAGGCAGAGTCACTCGAGCGGCTCCTCGGGCGTCTTGCCCTGACTCGGATCTTTGACTCGCCAAGTGAGGGTGTGAGTGAGTGTGTGTGTGTGTGACTCTGCCAGTTGGGTTCCATTCAGCCTCTGGCCTCGTGCCTTTGCTCCTGATACGGTACGAACAAGCTCTGGCTCGGCGGCAGCTTGGGAGCAGTTGCATTTCATTTTGGCACTGCGTCGCTCAGCCTCCCGCGTTTTCATCTCCTTTTTTTTTGCAGCTTGTTCTCTCCCCCGGATGTCGGCTCGCCTATCTTCTCTCTCGCTCTGCTCTGCCGGCTCGTCTTTGCCGTAGAATGGCAAAGTGCCCCACTCCAGATTGGACCGCGCCCTAGTGCTCTTGCGCCACTGATTGATACTCTCTCTCTCTCTCT